TTAAATGAGAAATATGCTAAATAAAAGCCTTTCTGCATACTTATGGACCTCACTGTACCACGTGACCCAAACGCAAAGTTTAACATCACGCGGATATAATTTCCTTCCTCCATCCAGTACGAAAAAAAGAGAATTTGCGTAGACGCAAGTTAGCGCCCGTGCACCAAACTGAAGCCACTAGACTACCGAGGAGGTTTGTGAGTGTGCGTCGAGGGACCGAAGATAAACTAAGTGCTGTTCAATAATTCAGTGACTGGGTAAACTTCAACTGTCCTTCTGCAGCTTAAAGGACATTCGCTGTCTTTATAAGCTCCTTATGAGGCTCTATTGATCCTCTAATACAGCCTCATTCACTATATACACGTCAGATTAAAAAGCACCATCTTCCTCTATACGGACTGGTCTCCCCCGGTGGGAGATTTGCCAGCATTACCATAATCTGACCAGGAGGTGGGGCTGTTTCTGTGACGCTGCCTCTGATGTTCTGCATGCCTTCATGGCTTCAGGGCTTGTGTAGGAATGTTTAAGAGACTGCAGTGAGTGAAAAGCAATAATGTTGCGAGTATAAACGAGCCGCTGTTTGCGATGTAATTTTAAAACAATGCACAATCAATACGTTCATTAATTTTTCCCATTTCGTATCTGAGCGCCTTTGATACAGGCAGCTTTTTATCTGACATGAACAGGCCAGCTCAACTGCTCTCGGCTTTCTGTTCTCTGTGTGTTTGAAAAAGCACATGGCGAAGTGACTGTGAAATATAAATCAGAGGCAAATGAGAGAAAAAGGAACACGGTCAGCTAAAACTCTGCACTCTAGACTGCAACCTGCATAATTCATACAAGCTCCAGATATCTTGCTCGCTCTTTCTCTCATCGCCACTGACACACAGATACACACACCCTTTCTCAATCCTGTTCCTCTCTTGCAAGCACATTCAAACTACCACAGACTGTGTCCCTCTCACTTTCTGCCGCAGAGTTCAAGGTATGGCCACTTTCATCAGTCACATTCAGTTCAGACACATTGGACTAGATGTTCACTCATACCCTGTCTGTCTGTCTCTGTAGTCTCTCTGTTTCTACATCAGCCATGTCTTTCAGTCTCAGAGCTGGATCGTGTTTCTGCGCACACCGGTCTCCATGGATCAAGACTGCTCTCATTTAATTTCTAACAGCAAACAGTCAATCTGACACTTTTACACTGATTATTCTCCTAAATGCGTGCATTAAAGCGCCCCAATTATTCTATTGTAAATGTTCCTAATTTTGTTTCCTACATTAGGTTTACATGCATCCAAGGTCAAAAAACACTTTAATTTCCCCATAATATACACTTGCAGAATCACCTCTTTTCTCACGGTTCGGTCAAGGTCTCTCTAAACCCCTCCTTTCCGAGAGCTTCCTCTGCTCTGATTGGTCAGATGGCCCAGTCTGTTGTGATTGGTCTACCTATACAGCGCAAATCGGAAACCAAAAGCCCGTTACCATATCTGAATTTCAGCTTCACAGAGTGATACAAACAGTATGGTGTTGGTTTTACTGTATCAATTCGAGCTAGAGTCGTCCTCATCAGTGTTTTCTCAACATGTCAGGAACCAAACTCTTCCAGTTCCACATCTACAGTGTTTGAGGGTCTATGTAGACGTTTACAGGCAGCCAATGAAGACCATAGGCTGGAATTAGGCAAATTCGTTACAAAACTATGTAGGGTTCATGCAGAAAGCAAGACTGTAATTACTGATGACTCTCTTCAGGCAGTTCAGAATCGGTTTTCTTTAGTGAGACAATAACTTCATTTATCGTGCACTTTGGTCTTTGAAATTTCGCAGGCCTTTTACATTCGCAAACAGCTAGGCTATATTACACTCTACATGAAAGCCAGGTAATATCCGAAAAAGCATAATAGCAGAATCAGTCCCTCTGATGCTTTAATTGGGTAAATCCTCTCAAAATCACCAGACCTCCCTCACAGTATTTCTGCTCCCTGACACACACTTCTGTCCTCCTCTCTCACTTCCCCCAAACTTTGTAGAGTAAATAAAAGCCATTTTCCATTCATTCACAAGTCAACTCATTCATATCGGCACAGTGACACATAAAGTGAGGCAATTTTTCAACAGCTCGGTATCATTTCCTCAGCACAGAATTGATATTTATATATGCCTATTATCATTCAATCTATACCAAATAATATTGAAAAATATTGTATATTTAGATCTAATTATTTTTAATAAATTATAAGTACCGTGGTGATTTATGTGTATTTATTTTTAAGCTGATATTCCTAAAACCTGCTTAAATTTGAATATGCATATATTTTTTTATATTTGCATATGCATTATATGTATATTTGACATTTTTATGCAATCTACATTAATTGTACCCAGCATTGGGTAAGTTACTGTAAAAATGTAATGCACTAATATAAGTAGATACTGTACTAATCACTCTCCCTAACAAATATTGCATTACTTTCTAAATCCCATATCAACATTGAATCAACCAGTTGGACAACACAGACATAAAACGACATAATTCTTTCAAATAAATAATATAAAATGGCATAAATTATTCTTGATCCGACCAATTTAGTATCTAAATATTCATTCTTATCCACAGATATATCAAATGCCTTATAGATTCTCTTTAAGAGATTCTTGCCTGTTTCCTAAAACTCACCCAGGGCTCTCTGGAAAGAACAGGACAGGAAGACACAGAAATTCCCTGTAATATTATTTTGGGGTAATGTTATTACTAATTTAATAATATGCCATTAGACTAAAAGAAAAGACACACAGGAATTAAACAGAGAGAGGACACTTAGGGCTCTGTGTCTAGACGATGGAGTTCTTCCAACAAAAAAAAGTCATAATTTGTGCATATATGTCAACTGGAGTGGAAATCACAATGAAAAAATAAAAACACAAGGTTAATATCTCAAACAAATCTACCAATCGGGTGCCATGCAAAACACTTCATTTCAACCACACCTACTCTGAAGGTCGCTTGACAACCATTTGAACTGATTTACAAGTCAAGTTACAAGCAATTTTAAGAAATAAATCATATCTCTGCGTTAAAACGGCACTAATATTTCAAAGTCACACTCTGTTCTTAAAGCACACTGAGTCGATGCTCATTTCTAATTCATACAATGTAAATAGAAAGCATCAATAAATGAAGTCATGTTAAATAAAACATTCACCAATATGTCAGATTATAATAGGGAAGAAGTGTGACGCCAGAGCTTATCTGCATCTGCATCTGAATGGGAATCCCTTTCTGTAGGGGCCTTGCCTCTGCCACCTGATCCCGTAACCAACCACATCCAGCAGATTTCCCATCACGTGGCTTCCTGCTCCATGCCAACCAAACGCTAACTGCCATCCGCATTATTTCACACATATTTCTGTCTGATGCTTCTCACCATACATAAACTTACAACATCTCTGAGAAGGTTAGACGCCTGCATGAATCACGGCACATCGTGCTGCATTCTGTGAAATCACGTGTTTCAGATGAACATGGGCGACTCTTAGCCTGAAGATTCATGTACATTGCTTCATATTGATTGAACTCCGTAGCCTGAGAGTACAGAATAATTGGTAATTTAATGCATGTCAATCTGATGGTTGTGGCAAACCGCTTTAACATTTATTCCTTTAAACTAATATTATGGATTTTTATGTTTCTATTATTTCCAAAAGTGACTCGATATATCACAAGTAAAACATGCAATTACAAATAACAAGACAATAAACTAGTAATTGTGACTAGTAACATTTTTTTCTTTCTTAAAGTTTTTTCTTGAAGTTTTTGCATGTAGATTTTTGAAGTCAATTTTCACATGGAATTAAGTAAACTCCACTTACCTAAATTAAGTAAAATTAACAAAGAAAATAAGCAACTTTAACTTGGCCAGTAAAAGGTTTATAGGTAGTAATTTCTACTTAGTTGAAGTTTCCTTCACAATACTTTTTACTCAAACAATATAACATTGAATTAAACCATGCTTTTAAAGTGTATGCTTTACTAAGTAACATTTAAGTAAATAATACAATATACCATCATATTAGAAATAACAGTTTCTATACCCAGCCGAACACAGAGACCTCAATACACGATGACGGTAACATTCGATGGATCGTTTTTGAGTATGAATGTGTCATTTTGAGTAGAAAATGAACTCCAGATGTCATAAAATGGCAAGTTCCTAAACCTAACAACAAAAGCAATAGGCCTAATTAAACTGTGTAAATACATCTGGGGAAAAAAATCAGCCTTATTAATTATTCAAGCCCTAGTGCATGATGGGAACGCCCATCATGAAAAGTTGAGTAGGTTTTACTTAATTTTATAACATTGATATTTACACTTTAATTTCTACAAGCTTGAATTGAGTACTAATATAGAATCTACATGCCTGAACTAACTTTGTCATGTAGAAATTACTTTTTTTCTTTAGTATTTACTTCACCATTTTTATCAATATACAACTAGAATGGGTATAGCGAAAATTGGAATGCATACTTGGAAGTGAACACTAAACCACAGATCCTCTTAGAAAACAATACTAAAAATGAGTTATACCTGTAACAATGGAAGTTACTTGCATGAAGAAAAAGCAAACCTCTAATTGAATAGATACTGGTAAAAATCACTTCTGTTTAGCATCTAATGAATGAGTGAAACTGAAAAAGGTGTTAGTCACTAATTAGTTCTCATTGGTTTAAAGGAATAAGCGGCTTGCCACAGATGTGGTCAATGCTCCCCTCTTTCTCTCTCTCGTGTGCTCGTGTGTGTGTGTTACTGGTGGTGTACACCTAAATGTTTTTAACGGTGATTAGAACAATACTGCAGAGACGCCCAAACACAAGCGACCCATCTTTCCCGTTCTCCTCTAGAGCAAAACGCATCATTGTGAATGTGCTGCTCTATCTGTTAACAATGAAGAGCCCCGTGCATCTGCCACCAGTCACAGTCACAGTGAATAAACTTACCGCAGTCTTCACACAATATGCTCTCCACATCTTTCTTGAGGGGCTTCTCGGTGCTGTCCAGAGGAGCAAATGACGCTTTGAATACTAAAGGCTCCTCCGTGGGGTCCATGAAAAAGATATATCTGTGGTGCTTCTCCACCGCCACGCAAGGAGCCTCGGAGCCGAATTCCCCGACGGTGACGAGCTGCTCGCGCTCCAGCCCGCCGCTGTTCACCGGCCACACGTCCAGCACCTTGACATTCACACTGTAGGGCTCCACGGAGACGTTCTCGGGCAGCGAGCTCACCTCGCCTTCGATCACCACGGCCGATCGGTAAGCCTGGTCCTGCAGCGAATCCAAACTCGGGGCGTAGCAGGCGAAGGAGACCCCGATGACGAGCATGGAGAAATGCACCGGATCAAGCCTCCTCATGCCGTCTGCTGTGGCTCAGGGGCGGCCGGCGGCGCTGCTGCAGTGCTCTCGGGGCAGAAGGTGCTGGGGGACTGAGTGCGAATGGGCTTGCGCAAGTGTCCATGCCATCTGCGTGTGCTGCTTTCCCCATGCACTTGGTGACGGGGAAACACCAGCCGCTGAGGAACCGTTATCAGCCCCGGTCACTGCTGGGCTGCTGCATTCTCCTTCAACGCACAATCCCCGAACTCAATAAGCATGCATGCATAAATGACGCTCCTTTGCAGCAAGGCGCTCCTCTCGCACACACTCCCTCTTTCTCTCTTTTGCGCGCTCTCTCTCTCTCTCAATCTATGTATCTATCCAGCCAATGTCATCTTCGAGACGCCTCGCTCGTGCACACAAAAGCGGGGATGCGAGCGAAAAGGGTCCAGAAATGCGCTCCGCCGTGCAAAACGACGCGCAGCACGCGCTGCTGTACGGCTGGGCGATGCAACAAGCGCGCGCCCTCCGCTTTTACGTGAGCAGATCTCAGCCGTCTGCTGAAAGTTCTGGCGCAAATGCACTAATGGCACGGGAGCGAGCCGGCCGGCCAGAAAGGAATCCCTCGAAAGCAGCCTGCCGGCGTCGCGTCGTTGCGCGAAGTAAAATGGCAGAGAAAGATTTGTGTGTATACGCCGCGCGACATCAACTAATAGAGAAACGGCAGACGGGCCACCGCGGCAGACCGCTGACGCGATGACTAACGCTGCGAAAAGCAGCTGAAATGCAATCGATGCCTGGTGAAAAGTGCGTTTGCCGTGATTTTCTACTCAAGAACAATCCGCATTCAGGTCACATTCACCATTTTGCCCCAAAAAGCGATCCGCCACGCGCCAAGAAGACAGATATACAGCAAACCACCGAGCATCCTATCAGCCATATTTACCCCGGCAACAGGTCCTGCGGGTTTTTGCCATGTACCGAGGGCTCTAGAATAATGAGAGGAGGGGACCGGTCATTGCGCCGTCGTGACAAGTCAGACTCAATGAACGGAATGATTCGCAACAGTCTAGAGGATTGTTTTGTGCACGGTTTTGGACTGGGTTTTAACTTGAACATTAGGGTTACATCATGCGTAAATGCGTCGCGAGAGAACGAATGTGCCATTGCCGTCCTGTCCTGAGGCTGCTGTAGGGCGACATCTGCAGTCACAGCGCGAGTGTGTAATGCAATAGAGAAACGCGCTGCGAACACCTGCCTCGCTTCAGACGCACGTCAATGCTCTTTTAACATTTGCTTTACTGGAGCAATGACAAATAAGAATGTTCGAGATGATAAAAATGTGCTTTAAAACACATGTCATCTTTGTGTTCATTTTGGATAAAAAACCCCACATGTAATGTGTAATTAAAAAAAATTTATGACTCAGAAAATAAAATAAAAATACATTTATTAAAATTAAATTAAAAGGTAGGCCTGTATCAATCAATTAAAAGGTATTTTTATTATTCATATTTTTCAATATTTATTTTTAATATTTGTGAGCCATTAAAGGGTTAGATCATCCAAAAATTAAAATGATCCCATATTTTCCTCACCCTCAAGCCATCCCAGGTGTATATGACTTTCTTCTTTCAGCCGAACACAATCAGAGTTATATTAAATAATATCCTGGCTTTTCCAAGATTTATAATGGGAGTGAATGGTACCTTAGCTTTTGAAGCCCAAAAAAAGGTCATCTATCCATCATAAAAGTAATCCATAAGGCTCCAGTGGGTTAATAAAGGCCTTCTGAAGCGAAGCGATGCATTTTTGTAAGAAAAATATAAAAAAATATGTATAATTTATAAACTATAATCACTGGCTTCCGGTAATGGCTGTACACAAGTCTAGTTCCGCTGGAAGAGTGACCTCTGACCCGACACATGACGTATTGATGAGCGCGGAAGCGCAGAAGAAGGAGAGAGCAAAACAAAACACCGGTCACGAATTAGAAGTTAGTTTTTAGAAGAAATTTTTAAAAAGACTCGTTTTTAGAGTCTACTCTCTCCTGAGCTTACGCTACTCCTATCCTACGTCATGTGTCGTGTCGTGTCGGGTCAGAGGTCACTCTTCCGCCGGAACTAGACTCGCATTTATGATGGATAGATGACCTTTTTTGGGCTTCAAAATCTCAGACTCTATTCACTCCCATTATAAAGCTAGAAAGAGCCAAGATATTTTTGAATATAAATCTGATTGTGTTCGTCTGAAAGAAGAAAGTCATAAACTCCGATGGCTTGAGGGGGAGTAAATTATGGGATCATTTTAATTTTTGGATGAACTATTCCTTTAAAATAAAGAACTACTTGAGCTGAACAAAATGAGCCTTTTCCACATAAAAAAAGGTCAAAATAACTGTCCAGAAATTGTAATATATGGAAATAAAAAAATTAAGTCAATCATTTTTTAAAGAATATTAATAGGCTATTTGAACATTTTTGTCTGCCAAACTTGCAGAATCCATTAATTTGTGGGACAAAAAAACCATAAAACATAGAGGACCGTCATCATGTAACCTTGTATAATATGTTTGAAATCAATGCTATTTATAAAAAGTGGAATAAACGATTTTAAATGTATGCCACCGACATGAATACAAATATTACATTTATGAAAACTCGTCACATGTGTTTTCAACTAGATTTTTCTGTTATTCCTTGTCTAAAGTAAATGAAAGATACATTTCTTCTCATGTTCTACACTTGTACACGTGTTCTCCTTGAAGCATTAATGAACAACAACCTGAGAACTCATTCACTCATTCATAAAGCCCACAGTCGCTGTCCGTGGTGCTGAACCAAAAATACTGTGCCTATGATCCCATATCATTAAGTCCTGTCATTTTCCCTGTGATTATGTAATCTTAAAATGTATTTGTTTTAAACTGTACTTTTAATGGTCACATTTTTATTATAATTAATTATGCATTACATGACCTACTAATAATGCAACAAGATTTACAAAAAAAAAATGCATGATGGTATCTAACAGCAATAAAACACCAACATGCTGATTATTATTAATTATTTATTAGCCTATTCTTTTGAGTCCCTCTGTCTTTATCTCTCTCACACACAAACTTATTAAACGAACGCACATGAGAATATGAGAGATCTACATCTGGTGATAAACAAACAGAAAAAAAAACTTCCAAATGACGAAGTTTATTGCTCTGTGCGCAATCTAAACGCTGATATGACTTTTACTAACACATTCCTGATCTGAAGAATCTCACGGACTGCAGAAATAGAGCCTCTCTACCAGATGGAGACTTCAAGATGAGCTAAAAGATGCGAAACGTAAGAGCCCATTTCTGTTTGAATGAAAGTCAATGGAGAAGTTGATGCTTCAGTAGCCTACGCTGAACCAACTGCTTTTTTTCTGAAGAAACATCACACAAAACAAACTGACTGCCTGGAGTGGACTCTAATCTTCGACATCAGTCTCCAACATTATAGAGTCTACTATTAAAAAAAAGTTTTAGCCTATAAAAGAAGACTAGTGCTATATGAGAGCTAGGTAGCATATTTAAACATGAATGTATCCACAAATGTTTACCGAATGTTGTAAAACACTTCACGCCAATCAAAGACGCCAGGTCTAATATATGTGATTGTCTTACAAGGTTTTACAGATTTTGTTTTTGGTGAATCTTTAAAAATAGATAATTTTCACATTCGTGAGTAATATTATTTTCAAGAAAGACCTTGATAGGCCTACATAGACTAAATTTGAATTAAAGAACTCTAAAACTCGTCTATGGTGTAGCCTGATTTATAATATAATATAACAGCCTTTAGTCCATTTTAAAATGTCATTTATTGAAACCATCTTCGAAGACTTTTTATTGTTGTTTTTTTCCCTTGTTGCTAAATGTTGTGTTTGTTGCTTACCTGAACCAAGTTGACCGTTACGCTTCGTCCAACGGACGCGCAGGTTGTCGTCTCCTCCTTCAGCAAGCGTCTCTGGCAGCAGATCTCGCGAGAGTTCGTCGGTCGCTCAGCAGCAGTCGCGTTTGCAGCAGCGGGGCTGAGGGAACGAGAGAGAGAGAGAGAAGGTACGCGGGGAGGCTGCATCATGGCGGACAGAGACAGTGGAAGTGAGCACGGTGGATTCGCCACAGGCCCCGGCCCGATGCAACCGGGCGCCGCATCGCGGCTCCAGCACGACACGGAGGAGCTCGCCTCGAAGCGGGTGGACATTCAGAACAAACGCTTCTATCTGGACGTGAAGCAGAACGCCAAAGGCCGTTTTCTGAAGATTGCGGAGGTCGGGGCCGGAGGAAACAAGAGCCGCCTGACTCTTTCCATGTCCGTCGCCGTGGAGTTCCGCGACTACCTGGGAGACTTCATCGAGCACTACGCCCAGCTGGGCCCCAGCAACCCCGAGATTGTGCAGGACGAGCCCAGGAGGGCGCTTAAGAGCGAGTTCCTGGTGCGGGAGAATCGAAAGTACTACATGGATCTGAAGGAGAACCAGAGGGGGCGGTTTCTCCGGATCCGGCAGACCGTCAATCGCGGGCCCGGCCTGGGAACCTCGCAAGGCCAGACTATCGCTCTTCCGGCCCAGGGACTCATCGAGTTCCGCGACGCGCTGGCCAAACTCATCGATGACTTCGGCGTGGACGAGGACCCCGCGGAGCTGCCCGAGGGCACGTCGTTGACAGTGGACAACAAGCGCTTCTTCTTCGACGTAGGATCCAACAAGTACGGCGTCTTTATGCGGGTAAGCGAGGTGAAGCCCACCTACCGCAACTCCATCACCGTACCCTGCAAAGTGTGGTCCAAATTCGGTACTACCTTCTGCAAGTACGCGGACGAGATGAAGAAGATCCAGGAGCGGAGCCGGGAGCGGAGGGCGCGCGAGATGCTACCGGAGGGCCTGCAAGGGGACGACGGGGACGAGGACTAATGCACAGCATATATATATATATATATATATATATATACATATATATACATATATATACATGTGCACAGAACGAATGACATGATAATCAGACGTTACTGTAATATGGGATCGCTCGACACACACACACACACACAACCCTCAGACTCGAACAGTTGCATCTCTTCACTCATCGCCGGAAGTTACCCACTTACCCACCATTTAACAGTAAGACGCTGCTATCGACAACATGTGTGTGAACCGTGTCCAGGATGGTGCAGGAGTGTGTGTATATCCCGCTTTACCCACGTGTGTGACACATCCAAGCTCTAATGCACTGCAAAATCCTCTTGTTTTCCAGTACATTTTATATATATATATAATATGTGTGTGTATATATATATATATATATATATATATATATATATATATATATATATATGTTTTAAGTAAAACCCAGCCAGCAGTGTGCAGAATTTTATTCAAACCACTCATGACACACAGCAAAGAATGTCAATACTGGAAAGTAAAGAACATACCTAGTCAATGGTAAAATTACCCTTTCTATAAAAATTTGTCCTGTGTGATAGTTGACACATGAGTGGGGTCGGTTGCTTTCAAAGTTGAGAACTGACACCTGTCAATCGTGTTGCCAACTTGATAGATGCGTCTGTTTCATGTGTAAAACCTGATGACATGACGTGAAAATGCTGCTGATATTCAGCATGCACACTGGGGGTTTTAAGGAGAGCTGCAAAGTGAGTGACGTAACTGTAATGTGTTGCTTATTAGAGCAACTGACCCCACTCTAACTTGACTTGTACAGTTCTACTTGTCAAGTAAATTTGTTTTAAGGCTGTATTTTACTGGAAAACAAGATGGATTTGATTATTATAATTTTTTTTTGCAGTGTAACTATTTCCAATGGTGCAAATTGACAAAGAGGAAGAAATATATGAATTATTAGTGCTTACTTTTGACTTCCAGCACAAAAGCTATTCTTTAGGAACCATTTTGAACCAAAGGTTCAACATGCAAACGAACATCAGAAGTGAAGGTGCAAAGATTAGGGAGTGCTGTGTATATTTCTACACGCACTCTGTTGGAATATTCAAATTACACAAATGGACGTCACCCCTTCTGGTTCGACTTAAAAGGTGCACTCAGTCATTTTTCCATCATTTAAAAGTTTTACGCTGATTGCATCATGGGTACCACCATGATGAGATCACATGACCAACCAAATTATCTACATAAACTCAATCTTATAGGTCACTTTAATTTGCAGAATAATATAAAACAAAATATGAATGAGTGCACCTTCAAATGCATATGAGGAAATCTAGTTGTTGTTTACTCATTTTCCTTTTAACTCTATACACGAAGCAAATGAGATTGTTTGTTTGCACGCGTCATGCAATGTGTTCTTCGGTAGCCGCACAGCGAAGGCATTGCTAAAACGACCGGTTGACGTTTGTTCCTGTTAAATACGAACCCTGTTGCACCATGCCCACTGACATTTGGGCAGACGGTTTCATTGAAGTGCTAACTTAGATATACAAACTATGATTTTGTGAATCAGATGTACTTAGATCCTTATGAAATTGCCCACGTTTTCTGTGGGAATTTTTCTTTGTTTTGTTTTTTGGGATGGGATGGGGTGGGATGTGGGATGGGGGATGGGGGTGTACTCAAACAGAAGTTGTCCACTAGTGTGACTTGTGATAATACCTGCGCGGAGCATCCTCTACAACGTCAAAAAAACAACTCTGGTGCCTTATATTCTCCACACGTTTACATGCTTTACGTGTCCGATCATTTTCTTTCTGATCGCTGTTTGTCTTTCTTTGTCGTTCGGGGTCACAACGGCATTGTTGCTGTACCACTCGTGGTGCTTCTTCGATGACTTCTTCGACAAGCCAATCAAAGAAAGAGGCTCACGGGGCTCTCCACGTTGCCGGGGAAAAGAACGATGATGTCATAATCAAACAGCGCTGACGTAAACATGGACGTGCTGCGTTCACGTCGTCTCGTAATTACTTAAATTCTACAAGTCGTTTTCATGGCAGCACTCAATGCCAAAATTAATCCATGTGCGGTTTTGTCGTCGATGGCAAATTTTCCAAATTATGACGCAAACTGGATTTGTCAGAAATGCGTAGTAATTCCGACACGATGTGAATATAGCAGTAGTCACCTAAAGGCGGTGGGGGTCTGCTCCTTGTAAAAAAAAAAGTAAAAAATAAAAAAAAAATAACAGGTAAAAAAAAATACAAAAAAGCTGCGTTAAAAAAAAACAACAACAAAAAAACAGCGTAATAAGGTGGTAAAAATGTTTCTTGCTACAGCCCAGCGTTATGCTAATGTAGGCCTATATTAGTAGACTTACGGCCGAGGCAGTAGCCTGTATGATTTTTTTGTATGGTGCTAATATCCCCGTTCGTGGGATTTTCTTCTGCCGGTCTTACTTATCAGTTGCTGAATTCGTTTGTTGTCAACATCGTCACATCGCACCTTGAGATTTTACTTTTCTCATTAAAGTTACAGTGCTAACACTTCAGTATCGTGTGCAATATATTGTAGGCTGCGTGCCAATGGCGGTGTTGCGCAAACTTCAGTCCCCCCTGTAGGTTCAAGTCCCCCTTTGGACCCCCAAAGCAAAACTATTGACTAAAAGACATTATAAATGGGTACTCTTTTTAATGCCTGATTAGAAATCCTAAAAATCACTTTATGATGTTGAGCTAACTATTTAAATATAACAATTAATGTCTTTTCAAATTTTCACACACACACATATTATGAAACCGAAACTATAGTCATGTTAAACATTTGTTGTACTCTTTGTGAAGCTAATCTTCCAATAACTTCCAGTAACTTCCAGAAATACTATTTTGAGTGTCAATGTGATGTTTTTGAACAGGCATTACAGATGGCTACCTCTTGGGGTCCGAGGGGGATCGGATTTTGCGAGGGGATTGAATCTTGCGTGACATCGTCATTCTGTGTGTGTGGATACTCGTCCCCTGCAATGACAAAAAAAAATACAATTTGTACGCATGAGGCTTGCTCTAATCGAAACATCTCAGCGTGTTAAACTAACCTTTTTGACTGCCTAAGTCAAAGTTTAGGGTTTATTCTAGTAACCTAACCGGTCACCACAAACAGGGACCGTCTGAAAGCACCTGCGCATACAGCGGCAAATTTGCCCTCGGCCAATCAGGCGTGATCCCTTTTGTGTGACCTCAAAAAAAAAAAAAGCTTCTCGGTGGTTGGAGTAGTTTAATGCTCGGTTTCTAGTATTTTAGTTTTTTTTTTTAGCCAATGTTAAATGCACAATGCTTCATTCAGAGATATTCATAACTATTTATTTGATCAAATATCTGAAGAAAGTTCAAGATAAAGACCTTTTTTTTTTTTTTCTCAAACCCTCTTGACGTAAGCCACCTCACTACTATTGCTGAGACGTGTGGTGAAAAGCCCGTTGCTGTCAAACCCAGACATCACAGCTACTGGGATATGTGGGGTTTTGTAAAAACTAGATTCTTGTATCTAGTAAAGCCACCAGCCTACAGACAGTTTAGGGGTTTCTAGCCACAGACCCCCGTGCTAAAGGCCCGTTTTGTGCTAAGCACATGAGGAAGTCTATAGGGGATCAAGGCTGACATGATTCTTGTGGTGCGTTTGGTCTCTTGTTTACCACTGCACAATATTAAAGCATACATAGGCACTTTGTCTTGCTCGATATACGTCTCTTTAAAGACTGAATCTGAAACGGCATGCTTCTTTTGTCCTGGCTATTTTAAGTCTATTTGTACACTGTTATATTTCTTTTCCTCTGAGGCCGGTAAGCAAATCTTTTTTCCTATCACTGCCCGGAACCGATTACGAAAACTGTTCGATGTGTGCCACAGCTAGTGCGAAATCGAAACTGGAAGTTAACATTGAAGGGTGTTTTCTAGAGGAAAACAATGTAAATCTGCAAAAAAAAAAAAGCTTTTGCTCTCAGATGATGCCCTCGATGGAATGAGCACATGTTTAAAGTCAAACGTGAAGGTGCTATTGGGTACTAAATGGCTCAATCCTGTCCAGGTGGCAGCGTTCAGCCAAGAATTTCTCGTATAACGTTCGTCTGATAGTGTTCGATCTCTCCACCAGCAAAGACCAGTATTGGTTTGATGCATACCAGGCTGTGGGGACATAAAAAAACAAGATGGTAACTCTGACTCTGTTTTAGTCTATTCTCCAATTAGTGGTGCCGATTCTAACGTCACCTGACCTTAATGAGTGGAACGTGGATTTGTGAACTAACGGGAGCTGCACATACTGCTGAAAGCCCTCGCGTATCTGCAGTTTCCAATATGCGAAGACCTTTTAACTTGATCTACGTGTTAATCTTATGAAAGTGTGTGTGTGTGTGTGTGTGCGCGTGCGATTATACGGTTCCCCTTCCATCTTAAACCACGGCCAGTCACGAACTTGGGTTAGTTCTCATACTTCACGGTCCTTCGGTCTCACAAGCTCAAGGCTTCGACCTGCTTAGCATGTAACTGTGAGCGTTTAGCGTATTAAGCGGACTGTCTGGGATGGGTCCTGCATCGAGGGTCAATGCACAAGGAGGGTATTCACATATCCCACCAACCATTTCCTTTTTATTCCCTATCAAATGTGTTGTACTTAAAAATATATATATGACCTGTGATGTGTGTGTATATATGGTTTGTTACATATGATGCGCCTCTTTATTAAAAAAAGATAGCATATATATAAATATATAGAATTAAATATATAAATATGCATATGGTTCCTATATATGTATTCCTATATGCACAGGAAATATATATAGGAAAAAGCATATTGCTGTTTTTTTTCCTTTGTATTTTATACTTACAGAAAGCATTGAATCAAATGGATAAAATACTTGCACTTTAAATATATAAAGAAAATTAAATAAAAAAAAATCAGCATATTATTTTTGATAGGTGACCTCACATTCAAAGATTCTATAATTACTTTCCAGGCTTTGTGACAATTGCTGTTTGGCAGTAA